TTAGGATGATACAGCTGATTAGGGATAACAATACACAATGAGGTTTTATTTTATTGGGTTTATTTATTTATTTATTTATTTATTTATTTATTTGTGTATGTGTGTGTCTGTCAGTGTAGGGGTCAAGTCCCTCAGAGTTGGAGTTGCAGGAAGTTGTGAATTACTCACTGCAGGTGCTAGGAACCAAGCTCAGGTCCTCTCTTTGGAAGAGCAGTATGTGTTTTGACCACCGAGCCATCTCTCCAGTCCAAACAATCTAATATCTATCTATCTATCTATCTATCTATCTATCTATCTATCTATCTACCTATCCGTCCTGTTTTATATATTATTTTGCAATTAAAATACATAAATAACAGTATCTTTCAGAAAGGAAAAGTTCTGTCAGCTAGAAGAGAAGGCTGATGCTGTGGCGGGAGGTGTCGTTTCTGCAGAAGCTCAATTCTTTGCGCATAGTACAAAGGTGAGCAGCCATTGCAATGCTCCGGCCTGGCCATCAGGGGCAGCAAAGAGCTGATGCAAACCTTTTCTGCCTTTCCTCCCCGTCTCTTACTCTGATGGGAAGTCTAAGCGGGCTGTTTTAGGCAGTCAAGTTGTTCTAGGCTCGGCTGCCCACTCTGTTCCTCTGAGCTGTTGTTGCCGACACTGTCCAGGGAAGGTACCCAGAACGGAAGATCTCTAGTAGGTGATGGGCAAGGAGAGCCTGGAAAAATGGCTACCTCTCTGAACACTCGATTCTACCCATAGCACTGTGCCGTCTCTGGTCATCCCAACTTATAGCCATCCTGCCCCGGGTAACCAGTATTAAAATTTGGTGAAGGGCACAAAGGAAATTCTGCAGTGTGAGTGGGACCTGGTCTTATGGTCTTAGAGGAGCGTTAAGCTTGAGAGGGAGTCTCTTTAGGCAGCCTCTGTCAGGAAGCCAGTGCCTTTCACCTTCCTCAAACACCTCAGACTCACCGGGTATTTCGGGATCACCTAGGACTGGCCTAGGGCACCTACACACATTTGTAGCAGATGTGTAGCTTGCATTCATATGAGTCCTCTAAAAATTGAACAGCATACTGTCTTTGACTCTATTGCTGGTCTTTTGATCCCCTTCCCCTAGCTGTGCTGCCTTGTCTGGCATCAGTGGGAGACAACACCCTTAGTCCGGTTGGATGCCATTTGATGAGCCAGGGAGGATTGGTACCCATGCTGGGGCTTCCCCTTCTCTGAGGAGAAATGGAGTGAGTAGTGGGGGAGGGGGTATGTGAGGATCAAACTGGGAGAAGAGAAGGAAGGGAACAGGGTGCAATGTGAATAAATAGATAAATAAAATTACACCCTAAAATTACGGGAAAAAAAAAACCAAAACGAAAGCTTTATTTTCTGAGTGCTCAGGGAGGCAGCCAGTTTGGGATCTGAACCTCATCCCTGAAGGGAGATTGTACAACATTTTTAAAGGATGGGAACTCAAAGCAAGGGAGGAAATGGGGCGGGGGGGGGGAGCTGCAATGTTATCCAGTTGTATTTTGACATCATGGGTTAAGTAAGGGAGAACCTGTTGGAGATTGGGCTGTATCTAGGCCACCTGGCTTCAAGGTTCTTAATTCATTCTCCTAGACATTAGGTCCAGAGCTCAGGGTGATAAGGGACAAAGGAGCGGGTCAGCTGCATGTAGTTATTTAGGGCATAACAGGCAATTGGCTATATATTACAACTTATGTACCTTGGTTTAGATAACAGCCATTTCTATATTCCTTATCGGTTAACAGTTAAGAAAACATTTGGAGACGTGTGATAGGAGCTTGTTCCTAAGCCTGGGAACAGGAACTGGTTTGACCCTGCCAGCAAGATGGAGAAGTTGCCCTTGAGATGTCTGGACTCAGACAACTGTCTCCTTACAACTTGTCCTTGAGATGTCTGGACTCGGATGATAAATGTTTACAACAGAAGCAGTTCAGCTGTAGGAAGTCCCCAGCTCCCTTAGAGCCTGGGACCTTGAATTTAGTTTCTCCCTTTGAATCGAGTCTGAAAACGAAACGGTAGTACTTAGAACAAGTTTCTTTTGCTTGTTCCCAGCAAACACAACAAAGTATCTAGATTGGCAAACTCAAAAGCTTCTGTCCAGCAAAAGAAGCAGCAGGGTAGAGAAGCAACCCACAGAGTGGGAGCAAATACTTGAAAATACTGACCCTGCTGAGGAGCCATAGTTAGAATGTAAAGAATGACGTCATCAATCCTGTTAAGATGTGCAGAGAAGGGAGAGATGGCTGAGGGATTGCGGAGCGCTGGCTTCTCTCCCAGGGAACCCTTGTTTGATTCTCAGCACCCATATGGTAGCTCACAATATATGCAGCTCCAGCCCCAGAAGATCTAATACCCTTTTCTGGTCTCTAGAGTCACCAGTCATGCAAACTATGCACTGACATACATATAGGCAATAACACCCGGATACATAAAGTAAACAAATAAATAATATTTAAAAGATATTTAGAGACAGCTGGATTTGGTGGCACACACCTGTAATCCCAGAGACTGAGATGGGTAGATTGTGACCTTGAGGCCACCCTGGACTACATTAGCAAGATCTTGTCTAAAACCAGCCAACCAACCAGCCAACCAACCAAGAACCCAAAACAGTAAAATGTATTTAGAGCTATAGAAAATATTTACCATATGCATTACGTTAAAAATAGTGGCAGAATTAGAGGCTGGAGAAATCTCTTAAGAGTATATTTGTTGCACTTCCAGAGGAGCTGAGCTCAGTTCAGGTGACTCCCAGTTGATTTTAACTCCAGCTCCAGGGGAATCAGACGCCCTCTTCTGGCCACCACAGGTACTGCATGCATGTGGTGCACATACACGCAAGTAAAGTATCAGATTCCCTGAACCCAAGTTACAGGTAGTTGTGAGTTACATTGTGGGTGCTGGGAATCAAACCCATGTCCTCAGCAAGAACAACGTGATGGTTTGAATGAGAACATCCTGTCGCAGGCCATGCAGGAGAAACAACAATGGCTTCAGAACTCGTGGAAGGTGGCTCACTGGTTAACATAACCACGATGAGTGTGCCTCAGAGAGGCGCAGCCCTAAGCACTACGCATGTGAGGACTTCATGCTATTGTGGAGTGGCTCTGCTTGTTGTCCTCACATCCCGCTTCATCTAAGAATTGTATGAAGTCTAAGGGGACTTCTAGCCCCTCACTGGACAGCATCTCTGGCACTCACAGTAGTAATGCTTGATCTTCTCCAGGCGTTGTTGCCAGAGCAGATTAATGAGTCAATCACCACCCTAGGAAAGAACTTAGAGACGTAGATTGTCAGCTAAGACCACCATCCTTAGAAAGCGTTTTGGAAGAGTAAACTGTTAGTAAAGTCAGGTTAAGATGGTTTTGTTAGTGGCTCTGATGTAGAAAATCTTAGCGAGCCATTTGAAGTTCAGAAAGGCACTCTCAATTGTCAAGCTAGGGACTTTTTAAAGTCAGGGAATGAGGAGAACGGCAGCGCTGGCTGTCGTGACTCTTTTGCTGAGGCTGAGCTGGTGGTCAAGGTGATGGATTTCTTGTGCCCATTTTTGCCCTCCGTTTCCTGGAAAGATTTCATAAAAGTTGCTCATGAGGAGCCGTGCGTTCTGAGGCTGTAAAGTAGAAGTAGCCGATTGTTTTGTAGATAAAAGTTTAGATCTGTGATTCTTTTAGGATTTTTATAAGACTCCTCTTGAAGATAAATAATAAAATAATCCATCCTTTCTTCGTAACCTCAAATTGCTGCCCGCTGTCAAGAAAAACCGGTTGAGAAGAATTACCTTGCTCGCTCACACTTTGTTAACCTATAACAAGTTGCTTAGTTATGAGTGAATACGGGTTTTTGGGAATGATTTGTTTTCTTTACCTGTACTATGTAATGTTTGTTCATGTGAAGGTTTTGGGGCACATGCTGTTTTCTCATAGTCATTCACTAGAAAAAAAAAGATGTAATCACATTGTAATTCTATACTGCTTGAAAGAGTTTGCCGGGATATATAAACTGTGGGAGAAAAAAATAAAGTCACTGGAGGCTGCTTGTTGAAGCTTTGCTCCAGACACCAAACATGCAGAAAAGTCCGCCGAGTGATCGATCGGTCACCAGCTCCACACTCGACCTGTCCTCTGTGTACCCTGTGGTGTCGAAGCCGGCCTTTGAAAATGTCCTCCATAAGTTCATGTATTTGAACTCTTGCTTCCCAGTTGTCGGTGTTATTTGGGGATGTTCTGGGGAGATGTGGCCTTGCTGGAAGAAGTATGTCACTCCTCAGAACAGTGAATGCTCTGAGTTTACAGTCACATCCTACTTCTGGTTGGCCCTCTGTAGTTAACTTCCAGTTAGATCACAGTGGAGGATATGATTGTCCAGCTTCATGGTCCTCCCAGCATGCCTGGTGTTTGCTGCCATGTCCTCCTGCTTTGGATTCTTACCCCTCTGGAAACCATAAGCCAAAATAAACTATTTCTTCCATAAGTTACTTTGGGTCATGTTTTATCACAGCAAAAAAAAAGCAATAACAATAAAAAAAAATAAAGATGGTAGACACTCTTAATCCCTGAGCCGTCTGCCCAGCCCCCAAGTCTGGGTTTTACATTTATATGGTACATTCTGATTTCTAGCCTCTCCTGGATGAGTCATTTCTCCCCACCAGTATAAAACTCATAAGAGATGTGTTGGGATGATGCTCTCGATGGAGAAGATGGGACTTAACAAAGGCATCCCACGTTGCTTCAGAGAAACAGGTTTACAGACCCTTCTCTCTCACACCCACATCGCCTGGGCTTCTGCATGTGTTGGGGAAAGGAGTCGGGTGGGTACATCTTGTTCTGGCTCCGTCTACTCCGCCTGCAGCAAGAAGAGAAGCAGGAAACAGACACGAGGTCCTGTACGTACCCACCTTAAGATCTGAGATAGATCTGATCCACTTCAAAGTTGCATGATCAAAGTCTAAATGAACGGCATTTGTTCCTCTCATTATTTGCTCTGTGAGCAGAGGTTCCTCTCCTCTGGAACCGAGGAGAGAGCGCCACCAGCCAAGTGATTATCAGCACCTCTGGAAGGAAGGCCCTGGATTGTGAGTGAATCTGTAGAGGCTGTGATTTGAGGCTTGCTTGCCAGTGTTTCTAATGCAGTGTACTACAGTTCCTCCTCATCCTGACCACCATTTTTTTTATTTTTACTGCTACTCCATAACTGTAATTTTGCTACTGTTATGAATCATAATGTAAATATCTGTGTTTTCTGCTGGTCTTAGGTGACCCTTGTGACAGGGTCATTCGACCCATGAAGGGGTTGAGATCCATAGATTAAGAACAGCTGGCTTAGAAAGTTTTCTTTGTTTTTTTTTTTGTTTTGTTTTTGTTTTTTTTTTTTTGTTTTTTGGGTTTTTTTTTTTTTTTTGTAAAGTTTGGCCTTTAATCTGAGCACTTGGAGGCAGAGGCGGGTGGATCTCTGAGTTCAAGGGCAGCCTGGTCTATAGAATGAGATCCAGAACAGAGAAATCCTGTCTCAAACCACCTCTCTTCCTCCTCCACCCCCCCAAAAAAGAGAAAAAAGGAAGGAAGAAAAAAGTTTTCTTGTTCAAATCATGCTCGCACTGACTCTCCATGGAGTAAATGATTGCTTTCATAGTTTAGATAAAGAAACCCAGGTAGAAAGATACAAGTGAGTTTGTTTATCATCAAAATACAATATGCTATGAGTATTTCTGTCACTTATATAGTGTCCCCCCTCAAGACTGCCTGACTTCAATATGAGAAAGAAGACATTTCATATAAATGTTCAATTAAAAAGAAGTTGGCTCACTGGGCGATAGTGGTGCACGTCCTTAATCCCAGCACTTTAAAGGGGCAGAGGCAGGTGGATCTCTGTGAATTCAAGGCCAGCCTGGTCTACAGAGTGAGCTCCAGTACAGCCAGAACTACACAGAGAAACACTTTTTCAAAAAAAGTTGACTCTTTAAAGATGTCAAGGTCATAAGGGAGCATTCCTGGGTGTCCTGAGAAGATGATTACTAAAAGTAGACGGTGCCTTCCTCTATTTTATCAATGTCAGATGCAATGAAGTTGGTAAATATGCCATGTCCATGTAAGAAAATGACTTTTTGATTAAAGACACTCACTGAAGTATTTAGAAATGAGAGCAACAAATCAAATCGGGTCTCTCTGTGACACTTCCACACACACACACATAGAATTGTACCTGACACTTCCATACATACATAGAATTGTACCTCACTCTTCTTATTTTCGAGACAGGGTCTCTCGCAGTGTTGCTCTGGCTGACCTAGAACTCTATTCGTAGATCAGACTAGTTTCAAACTCACAGAGGTCTGCCTGCCTCTGCTCCTCCGTGATGGGGTTAAAGATGTGCACCACCGCGCCGCCGAGCATGTACCCTGCTCTTTTAATTTGTTTATACTTTGAGATGTGTATTTTTATTTTCATGCATATGAGTGATCAGCCTGCATACCTGTCTGAGCACCACATGCATGCAGTGCCTGTGAAGGCCAGAAGAGGGAGCAAGAGCCTCTGGAACTGGAGTTTGCAATGGTTGTGAGCTGCCTTGTGAGTGCTGGAAGTCCAACCTGAGTCCTCTGGAAGAGCAGCCAGTGCTCTTACCCACTGAGCCATCTCTCCCTGGACCTTGCTGATAATCTCCATGCTCTCTCCATCCCTCCTCCCTTTGCTAGTCTGGTCCTCCCTCTAAAGAGATATTTCCATCTATTCCCACATTTGCTTTCTCTTGTTCCCCCTGCCCTGCCCTGTAGAACTCTTCTCTCTCTCTCTCTCTCTCTCTCTCTCTCTCTCTCTCTCTCTCTCACACACACACACATACACACACACACACACACAGAGAGTATATAGTTTAAAATCTATAGTCTGTGTATAAAAGGTGATATCTAGTCTTACTGTCCTCCATTACTCTCTTGTATTCTCCCCCCTTTCATTAGATCTTTCCTGCCCGTTCATCAGTTCCTTCTACTTTTATGCCATATATAAGCTATACATTTATATATTATATATTATCATATTTATTATATTATATATTATAATATGTAATAAATATAATAACACCATTAGATGTATATAATACTTTCTATATAAATATATAATTTATAACTAATAATATATAATTTATAATTATAATTTATATGTTAATTTATAACCATAGTTTATAAATTTATATCCATATATAAATATTTTATATAAAGTATATATATATATATATATACATACACACACACACACATTTAGCTAGAGATCCCACATACAAGGCAAAGTCTAGTATTCCTGAGTTGGTTTACTTCACAATGGCCTCCAGCTCCACCCTTTTCCTTCAAAGGACAGACTCTCACTCTTTGGCTGAATAGAATTGTGCTGTGCGTCTGCATCACATTTGCTACCTCCATCATCCATTTGCTGGGTACCTAGGTTTTTCCACATCTTGGGTAGTGCAGCAGGTAACCATGGGCACTGCAGTCTCTCTGCAGTGGGCTGGCCTTGGTTCTTTTCAGGTGTATTCCCAGGAATGATGTGCCTGGCTCATACAGTGGTTCTGACTTAATTGCTGAGGAACTCCTCGGTGACCCCCACACTGGCTGGACTACTTTGCTCTCCCATCTGTACTGTCCCCACATCACCAGCATTTGTTATCCGTTTCCTTGGTGACAGCCATTCTGACCGGGGTGAGCAATCTTAATTTGCTTTGGTGACTAAAGATGCTGTGTTTGTCAGTCTCAATGGCTGACTGAATTGACTTTTGGGTCACCCAGGAGCTACAGCTCTGGGTCTATCTTTGAGGGAACCTCCATAGAGGCTTCACTGAAGAGGGAAGACTCACTCTGAGTATGAGTGGCACCAGGCCATGGGATGGGGACCTGGACCGCATAAAGAGGGAGAGAGGAGACAGGGAGCTGAGCACCAACGTGCATCTGCTTTCTGACTGCAGATACCATGTGGCCCGCCACATCATACTCCTGTAACCATAGCTACAGCAGGACTCCACCCCTGACATGGTGGGCTGTACCTGCCTCCCTTACTCCCCATCTTGTCTTGAGTTGCTTCTGTCTGGCATTTATGTGACGACAATGAGAAAAGTAGTAAACACAAATGTGGAACGTTTCTTCAACTATTTATAGATCCTGTGTATTTTGATTTTTGAGAAATGTTTACTCAATTCATTCAACTGTTTATTGATTGTGATGTTTTAGGAGCCATTCCATCGTCAGATGCTTGGTTGGCAAAGACTTGCCACCTCCCATTCTGCAGGTTCCCTATTTGCCCTTATGATTCCCCCCTCATTAGCTGTGCAGAGGTTCTTAATTTCACTTGTCAGTTCTTGAAATTATTTCTGTGATACCAGAGCCCTTTATAGAAAGCTCCTGCCTGTGCCTGCACCTCTTTGTGCCTGCATCTGCCCTGCCTGTGCTTGCACCTGCGTGTGCCTGCACCTGCCTGCACCTGGCCTGCCTGTGCTTGAACCCACTCTCATGTGCCTGCCTCTGCTCACACCCACTCTGCCTGCACTTGCACCTGCCTATGGCTGCACCTGCTTGTGCCTGCTTCTTGAGGTAATGTTCCACTATTACTCTCTAGAGCTTTCAGAGTTTCAGATCTTTTTGTTAAAGATTTTTTTTCTTGTTTAATTTTAAAGTTAGACTATGAAGTAGTGGTCTTCATTATGCTGCTTTCCTTTGTTACTAATTACTCTTTGTTCTAATTTCTTCCTTTCCTCTCAGCAATGCTCCTCCTTCTCTGCGCTTCCCTTTCTCCACTTCTTCGTCACAAACTCTCCTCTTCTGTTGTCCTGGTGCATTAAGACCTTCCCCTTCTCCTTAAGATTTCATCCTCCCTCTCATGATCTCCTAACTAGTTTACACACACACACACACACACACACACACACACGAGAGAAATTACACACAATAGATCTTTCTCAGTCTAGCTTATTTTGCATAACATGATGAGTTGCGGTGGTTTCCTTTTTCCTGGGAATATCATGGTTCATTTTCATAGCCGAGTAAGATCTCACGCTGTATATGCACTGCCTCTTCTTTATCTCTTTATCTGATCACATGTTGGTAGGAATTCATGGCTGTAGCTTCCCTGATATTTCTAGAAGACACGCATTCCCAGCAAACTTCCTGTCCCTCTGACTCTTCCAGTCTTTCCAAACCCTCTTCTGAGATGATCCCTGAGCCTTAGATGCAGGAGCTGTGCTGTAGATGTGTCACTTAGGACTGGGGTCCAGAGCTCTGCATTTCCATAAGTTGTAGTTTTCAACAATGTTCTCAATTTGTTGCAAAGAAAAGTTTCCCTGATAAGGGATGAGAACTACAGTTAAGAAAGGGAAACATCTGATGTGTAGTTAGGGACTGTCTGGGTTTAGTAAAGTTGCAGTTATAGGTTCTCCCCCAAATCTGTAAATTCGTGAGCACTGGATATCAGCTTGGTTTTCCAGTGCCAGAAATGGTTTTCCTTTCATTAAGTGGGTCTTAAGTCCAACCAGAGATCTTGGCTATCATCAAGGTATGTGTACCACTGTCACATCCTTAGAGCCATGCTGGTCCTTGTGGTTCATAAACATCAGAGCTGGGTAGGATTACGGATGCTATGAAAGCTTGCACAGTGCCATCTGGTACCCGAAAGCTAGGCCTCAGGGATGTCCCTGTTTCTTGTTGATTGCAATTAGTGAAGTACTGTACATGATTGTCCAGGTCTCTACGATACCTTGACGTAGTATCCTTCGATTACATAGCCAAGGGTGGTATCTACGGTAGTTCTATTCTCGGTTTTGAGGAACATCCCCCAGAGTGATTTCCAAAGCAGCTACAAAAGATTATATCCCCACCAGCAATGTGTAACTTTCCTTTTCTCCACGTGCTTGCCAGCATTTGGTGCCTCTTCTTTTCTTTTGAAAAGAATTCTTGGTCTCTCTGTGCATTTGTGCACGAGTGTGTACAAGCATGAGCATTTTGTGCATGATGTTTATATGTGTGTGTGCATGATGTTTGTACACGTGTGTGTGTGTGTGTGTGTATGTAGACTGGAGGCTGTAGGTCGATACATATATATTTTCATCACTCTCCGTCTTTCTGTGTAGAAACAGTCTCTTAACCCGGAGCTCATGGCTTTGGCTAGGCTGGCTGAGCAGTGAGCGTCCAGGACTGGCCTGTCTCCGCCCCACTCCAGGTATCAGCCTAGATGGTCACCAACAGCTGAACAGACAATGAGACTGTGGTACACAATGGAATTTTATCAGCCATAAAAATAAGAAATTATAGAAATTTCAGGTAATTTTCTAGAGAACACACACAGCCATTAATCAGTTAAAAAACAGATCGATGATTTGAAAGTCTGAACTGCTGCTGGTTTTGGTGGCGCATGCCTTTAATCTCAGCATATGAGAGGCCTAGTCAGATGGATCTCTGAGTTGAAGGCTGCCTGAATTTTGTTTAGGGAACAATACTGTTGAGATTTCATGGTGCAGCTCCTCTCTCTACTCTAGAGAGTGAGTTCCAGGCCAGCCAGAGCTACATAGTGAAGCCTGTTTTTTATTTTTTTATTTTTTATTTTAAATCCAAGCTGCAGAAATTGCTAGACAAAAACCAGTGATCTCCCTTTGACATGTAGGCAGAGGCAAAAGCTTCCTGAGCAGGACTCCAACAACACAGAAAATCACCCAGAATTTATAAATGGGATGTCACAAAAATGGAAACGCTCTGAAAGGCAAAGGAAACTGCTAGCAAGGCGAATAGACAGCTGATAGACTGAAAGAACGGGCTAATATATAGAATATATAAATAACTATAACATTAAATAGCAAGCATTCCCTGGCTATCAATAAATAGGACAATGAACCAGATGGGTAATCCTCAAACAGCCAATAAGTGTTTTGAACTGTTCAGTGTCCTTGTTAGGGAAATGCAGATTAAAGCTGCTTTGTGAGTTCATCTCACCGCTGCCAGCAAGGCTAAGATAAAGAAATGGAGGATGGCTCAGGGGGAGGACTTGGGAAAGAGGACGAGAAAGAGTTCACTGCAGCTGGGTGCAAACCTGTGTAGCCACTGTGGAAATCAATGTGGCGATTTCTCAAAAGACTGAAAATAGAACTACTATGTGACTAAGTTACGCCACCCATGCATTGACCCAAAGGACTGCGTATCCCACCACAGAGATGCCTGGGTGTCCCTGTTTGTCGTTGGCAATATGGAGAAAATGAGACTCAGTCTAGATGTCAATCAACAGATGAATAGATGCTGAGAATGTGGTACAAATACACAGTGAGATTTTATTCAGCCGCACAGTTGTGGACCTATAGACATTTCAGGAAATGGGTGGATCTGGACATTTTTATCTTGAGCCATGTATCCCAGACTCAAAAAGGCAAATAACCTATGTTCCTTCTCATATGTGGATACCAGCTTTTTATGTTTACGTGTATGCATGTGTGGCTTTGTGTATATGGCATGTGGTTGTAGGTTCCCACAGATGACAGAAGAGGGTGTTGGATCCCCTAGTGCTGGAGTTATAGGTGGTTGTGAGTGATCTATTGTGGTGCTGGGAATGGAACTTGGGTCCCCTGGGAAAGCAGGAGGTCCTTTTTAACTACTAAGCCATATCTATGGCCCAGATCCTAATTTTATTATGTGTATTTATGTGGAAATAAATGTGAGTAGGTCAGAAAAGTAGAAAGGCGGCCGAGAGCAGGGAGAAGGAGGCTCTAGGGAAGAGGAGGCTAATAGAGTACTCAAGACACAAAAACACAGAGGAGAACACGAGAGGGGCCGGTTACAAGTGAGATGGCGGAGATGAGAGAGATGTGTGTGTGTGGGGAATCAGCTCAAACAAACTAAGAGCCAGAAGACCAGGATGTCCACTGCAAGATAGTGTGTGTCTTCTATATACGACGGGCAGCTGCACCCAAGAAATCTCAGCAGTGTGATTGTCTAAACAAAATCTACACAGTGATAACACCAATTGGAATGCCGGTGTGAACAGGGGAACTCTCACAAGACCCTACCCTAGATCAGAAGCTATAGGTAGTTAGTGGCTACTGAGAGAGAAAATCAGTCTTCTTCAGGGACGAGCCCCCTCCGCCCTAGGCTATCCATTCTCAAGTGGCCATTCCTAAACGCATACACACGTGAACAGCAACATAAAAACAGCAGGTTGTTTTTATATATTTGTGTGTTTACACAGGTGTGTAACAATAATAATTAAAGAAAAAGAAGCCATGAATTGGAGAGTGAGGTGAGGGCACATGGGGTGGGTCTGAATGAGGAAAGGAAAGAGGGGCGTAAATGATGTAGCTAGAGAATTCATATATGACATCTAAAAATAGGTGTAATAAACAGAGAATATTTTCTAAAGGATGAAACTTGTTACTTTGTATCTTAACTAAAAATAAGATGCAAAGCTAAAAGAGAATCAAGAGAATGCCACATAATTTCAGTTTTATCAAAGCAGTTAATATATATTTGTCTATATAAAGGATGATAGCATATCATACACCAGTGTCATGGAATCAGCAGATAGATTTTATTTCTCTTCTTTTGTGATTTTTTTTGTATATTTAAAAATTTAAAGATTTTATATTTAGATTTTGTAAGTCTCAAGTGACAGTTTGAATTGTCCTTTAATCAAGGGAAGGAAGGATGTATGAAAATTATTTCCTTCAGCGGGGGGAAAAGACAAGGGGCCCGATAGCTATCATCTGGCAAAGCTGGAGGTCAGCTCTGTCTGCCGTTGGTGGGAGGAGGGCGAAGCGTTAGAGGTAGAAGGCGGGATTATTTAAAAGCCTATGGGTGCTCCCCCTTGGCTCACACCTTTGTTCCCCAACTTATATATTTGCTCTCTAGCAGCGGCTGGGAAAGCAGAAAGGGCGTCTCCAGACACTCTAGGTCAACGCCATGAAGCCGTCGCTGCTCCCGTGTCTGGGGTTCCTCTGCACGCTGCTGCTGCTGCCTGCCCTGGGAGGGACAAAGAACAAGTACTATCGTAGGTGATGAGGGTGCCTTGTGTCCCGGGGGCAAGAGCTGTGCTCATTTCTGGACAAGGCAGTGGGTGTCATGTCTGGCATTTTGATTGAAGTTCCGCCTTCCCAGACCAGCCTCCAGTTTGGGAGACTTCCCAAACAGCAACATTGGTACAATCACCACAAGCAGCGAAGACTGAATACTTTCCGTTGCCAGTAGAGAGAGCCCCCTTCTTCCACACTTCCGGAAGTTCTGTGATTCCTTTCACAGGAACCAAATGGGTATTTAGTAACTAAACTTTAAAGTATAGACATCTTTTAGAATGTGACAAGGCATTAGGGTCCTTAGCTCTCAGGAGAACCGACTCCGCAAAGCTGTCCTCTGACCTCCACGTCTGTGTCATGGAGCAGTCAGCAAGGACGTAGTGTAGAGAAAACCTGGTTCAGGCCAGGCCTGGTTAAGCACGGCAGCAATTCCAGTGCTGGGGAGGTGGATGAAGCAGGAATTCAGGGGCATTTTCAGCTTCATGTGCCTTCATGGATAGCCTAGGAGACCTGAGATCCTGTCTCAAGAAAAGCAAGAATAAGCCCAGAAAGCTTGCTCATACTCTCCCTGTCTCCCCAAGACGGGTATTGTATGAGGCTGGCGGACATCTTGGACATTCACACTTCTTGTTAAGTCCATCTATCTCTTATAGATGGATTCACAGATGCTGGGGACATACAGAGTTTGATAAGGCCATTGGGAGCTGAAGTGATGAATTCAGTGGAGAATCTGTGAGGTCAGGGTCAATGTGATGACTCTGCCGTGTGGAAACGCAGAAGAGAGGCAGCTTGGCAGGGATCTGGGGCTGACTCTAGGAGGAGGCCCTGCTTCACGGGCTCTGCGAGCCTCTCTCCATTTCATTTCCCTTTCAGCGGGAGAATTGTTACTAGAGGAGTGCTGGGGACAGCCCAAAGCTAATGACTGCATCAAGAAGTGTTCTAGAACTTTCAAATGTGTATACAGAAATCACACGTGCTGCTGGACCTACTGTGGTAACATCTGTGCAGAAAATGGGGTGAGTTGCAGATGGGGGGGTGGGGGTATTGTGTCTTCATTGCTGCCGTCCTCTGCCTCAGATCAGAGCTGCCCAAGTCAGAGGTGCATACAGACACAGGCACACCCATAGACACAGGCACACACACAGACACACACACACACACAGACAAAGGCACACACATAGACACAAGCATACACACACAGACATAGACACACACACAGACACAGGCACACACACAGATATAGACACACACACAGACACACACACAGACACAGGCACACACATAGACACAAGCATACACACACAGACACAGGCA